ACGCGTGTCAGGGGTTGCTGACCCCTGCACTAGAATAGTTAATCTAAGCAAAACTTCTTGCCCTATTTCCATGCACTGTAACTTATAGTTAAGAGACAAGTGGAAATTGATGGAGAAACTTTAAAACGAGTGATATTTACCCTTTATGCAAAGGCCAATACAAAGCCTCTTCACTGCCTCTCATTTAAATGCTATTTTTAATACAGCTTAAGCAAGACATAGCTGTTCTATGATGCAAGGGGAAGATCTTTGGGTTGTATAAATTATCCAATACAGTGAGCTATGCCTTGGGTGAACTTCACCCACAGTGAATATAAATAGCCAACCACTGCCACTTTTGGTGGACTTAGGTACTTGTAATAAATATGCCATAAGAACTTCTTGCCTTCCACTGTAAAAGGATGTAATAGGAAACATTCTTAACAGGAGAAAGAGATCAGATCCCATGGCTTTTGGTGCTTATTTGTTTTACATTTGTACACCTAGTTTTTGTTGTTGTGTCTGTGTTTCATAGGCAAGGAAGCTAGAACATGAAAGATAAAATGTCCAGATTAAAAGAAATAACACGTGCATTTTTGTCCCTTTATAAAGGTTATTTGAAGGTTGCCACTAAGAAGAAAAGATGGAAGGGGGAATAAAAACAAAGAAAAGTGTTTGACTTTTCTCCATTATATTAATTTGGTGCTCCAGAGGGACTGGAATTCAAGCCTGGGACATTACTTTGTAGACCATATATGAATAATACAAGTATATTCAATCAGTATTTCTGAGGAAAAATAAGGGTGGTTTTTCTCCTCCTCGCATACCTGTTTTACATTCCACTGTGCAAATTCACATTTGCTTAATGTACCCATTAGTAACTCTTATGTGAATCTAGCCAGTAAAATCACTTAATTTTATAGGATACTGAATATTGGTATCAAAAATCAATGACAGATTTTCTTCCAGTAGATTTGCATTTGCTTTAAAAGCTTCCCTTAACCTGGAAATAAGGTTTTCAGATTATGACCATACCTTCACAAAGTAGGTGTTCATAGACACTAATGTAGTGACTGACACTACCAAAAGTAATAGCCCTATTCCCCTCATAGCTCACAGCTCCTAAATCTGCTTTTCTTTATCAGTGTAATAGGGTTGAATACATTTTAAAAGGTGGTAGCTATTGATTACTTAATGGAAAAAGTTAGTATAAAGAATTGCTGAAGCAGCCCTATTTAGTGCTCTCCAGTGCAACAAGGCCATTATCTAGAATAGTGGAAATCATCCTGTAACCCTTATTAATATTTAATAGGTATGAAACAACATGGAAGTACACTAAAAAACACCCTAAGCCTTCTGTCCTTATAGGAAAGAAGATTGTTTCAAGCATCAAAAAAAATAATGAATTTCTCTGTGCTCAAGTTATTTAGAACAGCAATGAACACCATCATTTGTCTGTCCCTTTTAGACTATCTAAGGCACATCATCACTTTACTATCCAGTTATTCCTACTGTGTATCTTGAAGCGATTGACTGTTACAGAAGATTACACCATGTTTAAAGATCACCACACAGAACTATTTGTTTCCCCAGTACTGTGAATCCCAACCTCCCTCTTTCCACCCTTCCCATTCCATGCTTAGAGAAGTATTTACTAGGATGACAAGTCAGTGAAAGGTGTTAATCCATTCTAATAGACCCATAATCCTCAGGGCTATGTTTTTATGTCATACTATTAAGCTCACCCCTTGTCACCTGTCAGGATGTTGTTCATCTGGTTAATAGAGAAGGTTTTTTTAAATGGAGGTTTTAAATGAAGTTGAAGTGTACCAGCTAAATTGTCCTTCAATCAATTTTTATTAGTTTTCACAGAAAATTATCTTTATTTTGCCAACATAGATTTTCCAGAGGATTACAAGCAATTAAGAATAGAGCTGTGTGAATGTTTTTAGTTGAAGAGTAAATTCACCTAAAAATGTGATTTTAGCTATCCCGAAACAAGTCATGAATGTAACCATCCCAAAAGGTTTTGCCTGGAAAAATGATGCCAGGACCAGATTTACAAAAAGCTAAAAGAAGAGGAGCTTGCACTGTGACCCTGTCCCAGGTTTCAGGAGACCTGGATTAAGCCCTTTCTTTTACCTGGAGGGCTGGGGTCAAACCTACATCTCCTAGCTCCAAGAGACTGCCCAAATCAGCAGACTGTTGGGCCTTCTAGTATAGGATGGTCTGAGTCTCTCTTGTTGGAGGTGTTCTACTTTGCACAAATAATTGCATGCTCATTGGAATGGAGACAGAAGCCCAATGTCTCAGCTCCCTGGAGGATGCTCCAAAGATCTCGCAAGAGAGTCATCCTCACTCATTGCTCTGTCTCAATGAACGGTTCAACATTTCATATAAAGCAGAACAACTCCAACGGGAGGCAATAAGTGCCCCCTGCTCAAAAATGCTTGAAGGACTAGTGATTAAGGTACTCATGTAGAACCATTATTTTTATTTTTAATTTTGGCGCCCCAACTGAAAAAAATCTATTATTAAGACAGCTCTAATTAAGGTTAAAGCCACATAAATTACAAATACGTTACAAGCAACTAAACCAATATCAAATGTATTCAGATATATATCATGTAGTAGGCTTGTAACCCAACCTAATTTTTAAAAAATGGAAACAATAAAAATAATGAAAACCAAGGTGATATGAAACAGATGAGTCCATGAACCATACATGTCACAGTAAGGATACTAGCCATTAGAATGCAATTATGTAATGAAAATAAAGCCAGAAAGACCAAGCTGTACTTAAACCACAAGAGTTAGAGCTTGATTCAAACTTCTCTCTGAAGCAAATTCTTGGCTAAAAAAATCCGAAATGAAATGTGGACATTTCCATTAGAACTGTTTTAATTTTCTGACCACCTCTAGAAAGAAATACTTTAACTATTTGAGGATGAGGAACTTGGGATATCAGAGAGCTTTTCATTTGAAGTATGTTTCAATAAAGGCACTAAGAACATACATTTTTACATAAATTTCTTTTCCCTCCCCTTCCCCCCCACATCTGTCCACTCTTTTTAGTTTTAAAAAGTGACTGTTTGTAAGAGATAAGGGAGCTAAAATGGATAGGAGCCCTGTGATTTATGGGCAGGGACAGGATAAGATGGGGCCCTTCCTGGATGGAAGTACCCCGGGGAGGTATAAGTGTACTCTGTGTAGTTGGTATCATTTTGATGAGCTTCATCCTTAAGATCACTATTGCTAAGCTTGAATGCCAGCTTGTCATCCTGCACAAGAGTCAGGGGTATGACAGTTTTACTGATGAGACCCTTAGAGGAATGACTATAGCCAGGAAAGGAGAGTATACAAAAATAGAACTGTAAACAGCAGCTTGCTAACTGTGGACAGAAAAGGTATAGTTAACAGCATTCACAAATTTACCAGAAGGTTAAATTGTTTCTTAAGTATCAGCCCCGTCAGACCTTCAGCTTCACTGCTTTTAAAAACAGTTTGTGAAAAGACGTAAATGGTGGCCAGATAACATGTAAATGGGTGTTCTACAGGAACTTATACAGCTAAGATTTGTTCACCTCTGGCTATATATATAGGCCATCTATCTATGACATCTTTATAATATCTATATTCACTGGAAACATAATACATTTATTCTCAGCTATGGTCCTGGGTTTATCAGGAAAGTGGTAAACAGATACTCAGAGTGGCTAGTGACAAGGCCAACTATTGAAGCCATAGTTTCTAAACCCAAGCTCAGTGCATTAACCACAGGACCAGCTTAATACATTCTCTTTATTTGCCACCCAAGGGATCATCCATCTGATTGAAACCTCAATCACTTCTGAATCTTTCTCATCAAGAGTCTAAGGAGAAATTCTGTAACCCAGAAGGTTCAGACATTCACCTTCTAGAGGAGCATTCTGATGTGCCTAATTTTCATGCAGCATATTTTCTATTGAGCTTAGTACATTTCCCTTCAAGGTTTATAGTAAATTTTGAATACCCTGATATATATGGAGAGGGGTCAAAGGGGTACTTAAAATGCAAGGAAAATAAATGCAATTTTATAAACATTCAGGGTTGTAGGTTGTAGCCATGTTGGTCCAAGGGCATAGGCAGACAAGGTTCTTTGGGCAAATCTGGTATCCTTTATTAGACCAGCTTTTTATAAATGTTTTATAAACATTTTATAAACATGTAATTTTATTACAGGACTTTTCTTTGTCATAAATACTAAAGCATACACATAAATAATAGAAAACAAGCAACTTCTGACTTTAGTAACTTTGAATGTTACTAAATAATAAAATGAACCCCCCAAAATATCATAGTTAACAGGTCTACAAATTCTAGCAACTGATATGCTAGGTCCATGTTTTCAAAAAGGGCTTTTTAGTTGGTGATCTCAATTTCTGGGTACAAAAATGTAGGTATTTGTGGGGGCATCTACATGAGATGATGCATAGTAGACTAATTCTACTGTGCATTACCACATCATGGCAAAGGTCTACTGTGCATTAAGTATCATGAAAAGACCATGCACCTTTGCTACCGTGCAGTAGTGCTGGCTACTGCTCATTTATATAGGACCTTATATTAGAGGTTCTGAACTTAATGTGCAGGAGCAAAGGTGCATTCATGCATGTGTAGACATGCCCAGTAAGACTAGACTCTTCTGTGTATTCTGTTCACTTTGCACCACTCTGATAACATACCCTTTAAAGTTTGCCTGGGAATGGCCAGCAGCTAATTTGCCATAAGCTAATTTCATAGTCTATGGCGAAGAGCAATAACAATTTGTCACCTGAACTTGCTCTGTCTTCACTTTTGCATTCAGATTTTACCTACATAACCACTAACTTTCAGATTATCTGTAGCTGAAAATAGCATGTTATACCCTGCTTATTTATAAGGAATTGTTAATGTAAAATGTCAGATTTATAGCTATATTTCTACCTTAACAATGTAAAAACAATGTCACTAAGATCTGTTTTTGTTTGTGTTTTTTATAGCGCACAAGTAGTTTTGGAACCTTTGACCGCTTTAGGCATCATTCAGTTTCGAAGCCAGATGATTCAGTTGAGGTTTGTGTTACAAAAATTCTACCTTTTTCCATCTGTTTTCCTATAACTCTTACATAGAACCATTAGGATTCAGTGATGTAAAACTTAGGTTGGTAAGGACTTACATGTATGCATGGTAAGTGCATATATAATTCATGAGAATCGCTTGTTTAAGCATGTACTTACTAACACATGTAAGATTTGCAAAGGAACCTTTGGTGAGCAATGCAAAGGACAGGGCCATATTTACAAAAAATAAGAGCAGCAAGAGCCAACAAAGCTTATACATCATCCACAGTGGCCCTGGTAGCAACCTGCTTTGCAGCACTCTTGCTGCAAGTGGCTTGAGTATATCCTCACCACTTACGCATCATTTTCACTTGGATTAGGACTTGAAATAAGGTGAGCATCAAACTGTAACATAAAATGCATTTTCTGTCTCATATTCATGAGTACTTAGGCATAGTGTTATGAACATAATTCCCCAGGCACTTTCAGAAATAGAAGAATGGCTGATGAGAACTTTCAGACACCCTACATGCATCTTAAGTATCTCTGCATTCTCTCCTGCTCTTACATCTGATTTTTTCTTTTAATTTCAAATCAGGTAACTGAGGTGGAGACTATAAGTGACCTTGGAGATGCAGGACAGAATAAAATGGCAGGAAATGGAAGTGGTTTGGGAAAGAAGATGCGGGCCATTTCTCTGACCATGAAGAAAAAGATGGGTAAAAAGTACATCAAGGCACTCTCCGAGGACATGGTAAATATGCTCAAGAACCTTTAACATCTTTGATAACATATGGTAGAAATGTTGATGGTGCGCTTACTTCTTAATTGCTTCTTAATAACTTTTTATTGACTCACCGTAATACCTGAATTCAGATAGATATATGCTACAAATAATGAATTTAAATGGTTGATGATTCAATTTCAGTAAAACAATTCTCACCCTTCTTTCTCCCTGGATGTGTATTTGATGCATGTGCACTGCCAAACGCACAGGCATAGGCACTTATACTTACAATTTCACAGACATGAGTGCCAGGATAGAACAGAGCTTGATTCCTTTGACAAAGGGGATATTTTGTTTAGCTGGCAGTGAAAAGGTGTGTCTCTGTGGGAGGAGGTGGTCACACAGGTAAGGAGGAGGGTTCTTTGCATCCTCCCCAGTAGGTGTGCATCAGTGTAAATAGGAAAAAGATGATCTTAAGTATGTAGGACTTTCTGATACAGTTGTCAAAGGAAGTTATTTCTTCATTAATGTTGCATCACACTCTCTACATAGTGTGACATCTTGGATGTCATACACTATTTAGGATGTTGCATCAAACATGAAACATACGTTAAGTGACTCAAGCAAAGCAAAGCGTTTATGGTATAGGTCAATCTCAGGTTTGGGACTGACTCCCTTTTCCCCTCTAACTGAATACTCAGGCCATGATTAAGATAAGTACTAGATGCCACAGAAGAAAAATTCCCTTAATTGACATTTAATGGAGTAGCCTGCATGTAGGAACTTCTTCCAACATCTGTTGGCTAGTGATTCATTTTGTGCCCTGAAGCATAAGGGTTCATATCTGCTATCTGTTTTTAGCTCATCTAACTTAACTGTAGATATTTTTACTACACGTACAAATGTGTGATCTTTTTTTGAACCTGCTGAACCTTTCAGTATCTTGAGGCAGTGAGTTCCAAATTTCAATCATGTACTGTGTATTAAAGGGAAAGGCATTTTTATTAGTTTTATATTTCTAAGATTTAATTTCACTGGGAGATCCATTACTTTTGTATTATCAGAGAAAAGAAATAAAACTTACATATTTACCTTCTGTATACTTAAATTAATTCTTTGTAAGACAGAAATTCAATAGAATGTGCTAGGGCACATGTTCCATACAATCTTAATTCCCCTATAGCTGATAGAATTCAGCATTGCTCCAATGGTTAATCAATGAGAAAAGCTGTTGAACAGTGTAACTATCATTCCCCCTCCTGGAAACTAATCATATTTCATTTCTGTAATACATAGCTCTTTGGGAAGAGGGAGTCAGTCCCAAACCTGGGATTGACCTGTGCCATAAATGCTTTGTTTTGCTTGACACAATAAGTCACGTAACATACGTTTCATGTTTGATGCAACATCCTAAATAGTGTATGACATCCCAGATGGCACTCTATGTAGAGAGTGTAATGCAACATTAATGAAGAAATAACTTCCTTTGACAAGTGGGCATTGTTTCATTTAAGTATGAAATCATCTTCAACTTAAATAGCGATTAACAAATAAGGCTATAATTTCTAGTTTTGACAAACTCTGGAAGTTATGATTTGGGAGGTGACATTTCATGATATAACCTCAGAGGTCCTATTTCAGGCCTCATATGATTTTGAGAGACAGAAATGAACGTCTGTTTATTTTGCAAAGGTGCCCATGTTCTGAGATTTGGAGTAGCCAGTTTGATGCTAAAATGTGCTGATCACATGGAGTTAAACCTGGCCATGTGCCTCTGGCTTGCCCTCCCCCTGTTGCAATGGACTAATAAAGCCCAAGACTGAGATATTCCAGTGCAAGGCACAGCAGTTGCATACAGTTCTCACCATTTGCTCTTAGAGTTGCTCTCTGTGCTTCCTCATTAGATGGAGGAGAATCCCCGAAGTGATCCCCAGCTGCTTTCTTCCTACTTTGCTTCTGTGACTTTTATATTACATATTATCAAGATAGATAATTTTGAAATATTTAAGCTGTAAAATCATGTGCTAGATTCTTGCCACTTCCCTGGAATTCCAGAACAGCCAGGAAAACATCTTATCTGGTTTACTTGGGAATTTCCATGATGTATGTCTCTGATTTTTGTATTATTGTGGTAGATTCACTATTACTATGAATCCAGTGGGATGTGGAGAATACAGTAGAAGGAGATGGGCACAGCAGCTGGAGATGAGCACAGAGAGCATGAAGGGACAAAGGTCCTACTGTGGGATCCTACTGTGGGTCATTCCTTCCATAATGAAGGAAAATGTTGTAACACTTAAGCACAATGTTCATTTTAGCAAGTCAATGTATACTAGTAAAATAAGTGCACAAAATATGTCACCTGTCAAACATGCATATAAAGTCTGTCTTAGCATAATTAACCTCTGATTTTTGTTGCTGAAGAATGAAGAAGGCAAAGATGACAGTGATCCTGGAGGTGGAGGACATACAGAAAAGGCCTCTTTAAAAGCCAGTGACTCTATGGACAGTCTCTATAGTGGCCAAAGCTCATCTAGTAAGTAAAAAGAATCATAACCCCCTTTGTTGACTTGTTCAATATTATTGAAAATTAATTGACTGTCAGAACTAGAGAACAATAACTTGATAATGGAGAACTCTTTAATCTACACAAAGGTATAAGAAGCTGGACACACTCAGAAGAACAACAAGGCACACATTTTTAATAGTGACAGTATCTACTGAAACAGCTTAACAAGAATGGTACTAGATTCTCCATCACTGAAAATCTTCAAATCAAGTTTGGATGGTTTTCTAAAAGCTATTTTGTAGGGCAAACAGGAATTGACTCAGAGAAGTCCTATGGCCTTTGTTATGCAGGAGGCCAGATTAGATTCTCACTGTCATCCTTTTGAGCCTTAGTCTATGAAGCTATAAAAGTACATGACATGAAAAACTATGGGAGTTTTTACATGTGCTCCAGGGGTGGAGGGGTGCTTTAATTAGAGAGGCTCCAAGAGCCTACAGCATCTCATGTATCAGTGTCCCCGCACTTCAGAATGGTGGCAGGGTTTTCAACTAAAGCTTGTCGAAGGAGCTTTAGTTAAAGTGCCCCCACCACCATTTTGAAGTGCGGGGACACTGATATACGAGATGCGAAGGTTTGCTGAAGAATGCTAATTAGCATGCTTCAGCGGACACTATCAATTGAGTCTGCTCCAACGTGCTGTAATTACAGTGCAAAGGAGCAGTCTCTCTGCACATCTACAGGCACCCATAAA